CAACCTTGCTACATAAATACACAGATGTTTTCAGTACAAACGGACTGCGAGGCTCTCCCCGCGCCTAGGTGTCGGACGCAGCCGTGGCTGTCACGGCCTTGGGTCCTGCCACGAGGTGCGCGCTGCCCAGCACGCCGTTCCAGTGGACTTTGCCGTTTTGGCGCTCCTCGGGGGCGTCTGCCTGCCGGTCACCATTCCAGCGGCGTTTGAGACGCAGTTTCGGAGGCATCAGGGCATCCTCTCTCTTCTCCTGAGCTCCTAATTCTCCTGCAGACTCTCGGGATGACTTCTCTCCACTGCCTTCCCCTTGCTCCTGGCATTCTTCAACTGAGAAGTTGACTTGTGTGGAGGCTGATGGCGCTGGATGCCACGATGGGGCAGCCGGTCTGGCAAATACAGGCCCTTTCTCCTCTTCCAGGCTGGTATTGGGCACTGCCATGCTAGAGCCTTCCTCCTTCTCACTTTTTTCTTTTCCTTTCACTGATGGCTCTTCACATTCTGCTTCCTTGTCCACCAAGGGCTCGACCTTGACTCTGGGAGAAGGAGTAGCTAGCTGGGGGGTAGTCGGCTCCTCAGCACTTTCCAGTCTCTCTCTGTTTTTGCGCCCAACAGGCGGAGGCTGTAGCTTAATCGGGAACTGGGGCTGCTCCTCATGGGGCATTTGGCACTGTAGTGGTGGAACCATGAGCCCCGGATAGCGGGGGAAAGTCCGCGGACTCAGATGGTAGTTGAAGACAGAGCAAGCTTGTGAATGCAGGTAGTGTTTCATTTCCTCAGGGTTAAAAGAGAAGCAGCTGCTACCTGTGAAGGGGCTGAGACCCGGAGAGGGGCTGTAGGAGAAAAGGGTGGGAGTCAGGGACAATGCAGGAGAGATTGGGACATTTAAGACCCCGCCGCGCCCTGGGAGAGGGGACACAGCAAAGGGACTGTGAGGATCCGGGTAGATTCCAGGCCTGGTGAAGAGAGGAAGCATAATATCTGGCTTGCGCTTCTGGTGATTGACGCTGCCGGTGCCCACTGCATTGCGCGAGGTCATGAGATCCACGCCGCGGCGCCAATCTGAGGAGCCATCCTCCAGCTCCGGCATGTCGGGCTTCCTCTCGCCACTGTCGTTCAAAGCTTCTGGATTGGATGGGACCAGGGACCCACCAGAGAAGCGACTGGGCTGGGCATCTTCAGTGGGAGAGTGGCTGTCCAGAGGTGGGAAGTGGAAGCGGGACGAAGCTGTGGGGACAGGAGGGGCACTCTGTGGCACCACACCTGAGGCAAGGGAATAAAAAAAAGGTACAAGAAAGAGAGAGTTAAGAGCCCAGTTGCTTAGGGAGGTTAAATCACCAGCAAAGAGCTTCTTTTTGGACGGCACCTGGAGGCATTTGGAAGCGTAACACAAACATACCATACGCTATCAACAACACAGCAGACGATTACATGGGAGGTGCCTTTCCCATCTGCTCCCTTCCCCTGCATAGTTCCAATCTCCTCTACCCACCTCAAAACCTTGCCACTGCTGGAGACGAATCTTCTTTCAGCTCCCGGCAGAGCTTTCTCGAACCTCTAGCACCACTGAGCTGACTTCCACTTTTGGATGCCCTCCCCTGAACTCTCTGCTCTGGCTAAACCAGATGTTCTCAAGGATGGTGTGTTATAAGCACTGCTAAGCAATCGAGCTCTACCACGAGTAGAAGCGCTGCTGGTAAACCTCAGATTCTCAGGGTGGAATATTGAAAGTCACTGATTTGTGCTTTTCTGAGAAGGCATTTTCTCTCCAACATTTCTGCCAGTAATACTGCTAACTCTTGCTGGCTCCCTTTCCCCAACCTTTCAAATCAAACTTCCACTGCCATGCCTACAGAGCTGCTTGTCTAAAACTTGCTCTTGCTGCCATTAGCCATATCGAGGCAAATTCTTCCACCTGCTTTCTCACCTCAACAGTCGATTCAGATGCTTTTCGCTTCAAGACTGCACGAGCAAGAGTCAAGAGAAGAAACCCGATGCCAGTGCCTCAAACAGGTTTGATATCCCAACCCCCATCCCAGCCAGAAGGAAAGAAAACAGGTTGTAATTAGACAAGTGCATTCCAGTTCTCCAAACTTCTTTTTTTAAATGCATGCCCCAGAGATAGAAGGGAGTGGCTGCAAACAGGGAAAAGGAACAGCAGTGAGCAATATTGAGCAGGAACTGCCCAGACTTGTTGCTACAAGTAATTATAGATTTGCAATGCAGCTTCATACTACATCTTACACCCCCATACTTTGGCTACAGACTCCTGGAGAATACGTGTCCTTCTCCCCACTGCCATAAGGGCAACATGTCCCACACAGGTGAAGCAGAATTCCTTTATTAACATTTCAATTCTTCCAGCCCCATCCTTTGGGTTACTGTTTGCTTAGAAGACAATGCCTTTAAATTACATCTGTGCTCTTTCCTGGCTAGGACTCCCCAGGGGTGGAGATGGATGCACGGTGGTTGAACTGCCAAGATCTATGAGCAGTCACTGCTGTATGTAGGCACAGAATACATCAGCACTGATGAGAAAGACTCTTTTCTACATATAACCTGTTATGATCAGCTGCCGGGATTTCAGTCATCATTCAATCCCCACTTCCCCTATTCTCTCCCTTCTCGACAAGTCTTCAATGCTTCCCCTAAGACTTTCTTCAAGAGGTGAGAACCAAGTTCACAGTGCTGTGAAAACAGCTGGTTCAGGCCTCTCTCAATTCATGATTTCTTTGCTATAGAGAACTTGCAGTCCAGGCTCTTACTGTAATGACTTCCAGTGTGGTTGGTTTTTTTTTTTTGAGGGACTTGATTGCCACTAACTTTCCTTATTGTGTGACAGCTCTTCAGTTATGCAGACAACGATCACAGCTGCAGAAATCTTGCTAGGGATGGGAGTGGATTCTCCTCCCCCCCCCGCCCCCCAAAAAGGATCTTGCCAAGGACCCTCTTCCAGAGAAACCACAGCATTAATGCTAACTCCAGGACAAATCCAGCATGAACTTCTGCTACTACGCCTGGCAAGAGACTCAAAGGCCTCTAAGGACAAGCAGGGAACGCTTACGTTCCATTCCCAAACTCTTTTTGTTATCCTGAACGTCAGCATGCAGTTCTGCCGCAGCAAGAATCTAGACATACCTGTGATTTTACTCAAACTCATAAACTAGTTACCACTCTTCTCTGGAAGCTGCTCTGTACTCACTATTAAATTTCTCTGAACTCCACATATAATTTGGTGAGAAAAAAAAAAATCCTTTTGATATAAAAGGAGCAGAACTGCAGCAAACAAGGGGCTTTGCAGAACAAGAGAGGAGAGCCATCTACTACTAAGCTGCAAACTTTTTGATAGTGCTCACATGTATGTCTTGCCATACACCTCTAAGCTCTTTGTCAAGAAGAGTCACATTTATATGGCATCGTAAACTTATGTAGTGCTTTACAAACATGTGAGGCAAGGTTCCTGCAAGAGAACTAAAACCTTCTTATCACAAGGACACCCCCCCTCCCCCAAATAGCAGAGCAAAGCAAACCCACAACACCAATAAAGACAGTCCAACAAGCAAGCTCAAATAGGAAACCAGAATGCCTTGAGTCTCCCCTGAAGACAACCACAGATGCGTCTGTGACAATCTGAGGTAAAGAGCATTCCAGATAAAGCTTTATCACAGTCCAGACATTCCCACCACATTAGCACTGATTGCCCCGGCAGAGCCTTTCAAGTGTAAGAGATGACTGATAGCAGAATCTGCAGAGACTGCTCAGCCTGTTCTAGCTCCAATCCTGCACAGAAGCGCAGCGTTGTGTTCACTAACACTCCACTCGCACACCCCGAAGAAAACTTAAAAGAAGCCCCAAATGCACACTTACCATTAGGCCGTATGTTAATGAACGGATAGTTGGGCATCACCAGTTTGTTGAAGTTGAACTTGTAGGTAAACCTCTTGCCTTTTGTCTTGTGAAGAATCCTCTTGTTGTAATAATATCTATTAAAAAAGTTTAAAAGACCCGTCAAAGCACTTGGTGATCTGTTTAAAGGTCTCATTTCTTTTAACGCAATCAACACTCAGAGTTTACCAAACCCATCTTTGACATATCTACAAACATGTTAAGGTACTCAGAGAACTTCTTTACGAACACAAGAAAATATTAGTTGATCTGAAAGTTTCCAAGTGACACCCATTCCTTGCCAGTAGATTTCACACTATTTTACAGGTCACTGTATTGTTTCGTAGAACATAAGGGAAAAGGTGAGATCCTGAAGGGAAGTGAAAGCTGAACAAATGCCCAGGCCTGCCTGCACGTGTTCTCACCCCTGTCCAAACTGGGATCAGCGACACGGGCTGGGGGATTGCGTGCGCGCACGTGTGCGGCTGTCCTGTACGAGTGTCCAAGTGTCCCATACACTAGCGGGCACTATCTCCCTATTTCCATCTCCACAAGCGCACGACAGTCAGCTAAACAGGCACTGCTTCTTAAACACTACTACTTCCTGTTGGCAGTAGCTGTAGTTGTCAGGTCAACCAAGAACAAGAGGGGAAAAATTCATGTGACAACCTCTGTTAAGAGGCAGAACAACCTGAGAAAAGGGAATGCATATCCAAGGCTTTGGCAGAACAAAATCCAGTGCAACTACAGAGCTGGGAAAAAGACCTGCGAGGACAGAGTTTCCTAGATATCTCCAGACTGATTTCCCCCCCCCCCCTTCAGTCTTCAAGGCCCAGTAAATCTTGACAGTGCAGTGTACAGGACTTCAGACTGGAGCTCAGGAGAGCTGGTTTCTGCTGCAGTCTGTCATGCCGTTGAGCAGGTCACTTCAGTTTACCCATTAGCACCTTAGGGTTCAAAACACTCACTTGCCTTCACAGCCAGCTTCGATTAGGGCTACGGAGAGGAGGCACTCCACCGCACTGACCCCTAGCCAGCCTCCCTACCTGCACTCTCAGGCCCTTCACGGAGCAAAACGAAAGCCGAGCGCTGAACGACTCAGCCCTAGAGAAAGTAGATATAATCTCTACTATGGCCTCCTCCCCACTTACACCACCATTACTGTTTGTCCTTAGCCACTTAGTGGTGTGCAAACAAAGGTGTTACACACTGATCACCACCACAATTTTCTATACTTAGGAGGTGGGTTCACACATGGTTTCTATTGCCACAGAACAGCAAAGCAGCACTGGCTCTTAGCAGAAGGGGGCAAAGACCAGAGGTTGTGGACTCAAGTAGCTGCTCTCTGCAGCGCTCTTGCCCTGCTGCTGTCATACTTGGCATCCAGATGCCAAGGCATGGATCAGTGTTTGCAGGTGGAGAGTACTTTCCACTCCCATGCATCAATTAGAGCATTGGTGCTAGTCAATTTATTGTTTCCTTCCTGTTCCATTATGAGACTGTTGTGTTTGCTACCCTGTTTGCCTTTGGCAGCTCCACCCAGGAGGTATCAGAGGGCGTAAGGCAGCAAAGTCCATGCTATAGACAGTGTTAATAAATAATGCCAGAACCCGTCAAGAACCTACTTGCTTCTGTAGGTGACAGGCCTGGTCCATGCTGAAATACTTCAGAGGACTGTTAGTTTTTCACTGTCCCTCTTCAAAATATATAGCAACAACGGAAAAAACTCAGCAACTCTGGAAGGGCCTAAATAAAACGGTGCTAAGTTTTACTGAAGCATTTGGAATTATGAAGCACAAAGCGAGGAACATTCAAGCCCATGTCTAAAACAAAGGGACACTGGTAGCCAGAGGGTATCCTTAACCCATGGGCAAATTCATGTCATCAGGGCTCAGGAAACCAAACCCAGGTCCTTCAAAAACAAGGCAGCAGTTTAGAGTCAATAAAGTAATCACAGCACACTCATCCTCCAGAATTCCCCACCACACAAGGTGGAGAAGTCTGATGGCACAGGCAAAAGGTGACTGACACTAAGCCCAGCTACCCACTAGGAACCGGCACTGAACCTGGGCCTTGTATGGATTTAGCAGTAAAAAGGCAAGCGCAAATTATGTTAGAAAGGGGAGTTGCTTTCTCTGAAACTGTATCATTGATGGTGTGATAATAGAGTAACACCTCTGGTTTCCTCCCACGCCTTCATTGCTCAAGCCAGCATCAGCAATGGAAGACGAGAAAAGAGACAGAAAAGCTCCCCGGAAGGAAGCCATCCTGATAATAACAACCTGAACTGTAAGTGCAAATTTATGTTATGACGCTTCACCACAGGACACAGAACACGTCACTGTGAACTGGGAATTCCCTCTTGAACCTCGCCAATCATGACCAAGTACAATCAGACCTAATTACCAGCAAAACGTTGGAGATAAAACTCTCAGAGAGGCAGGGGCAACCAAAGAGGGGGTAGAACACCTCAAATCAATTACACAGATGAACCAGGGAAGGATGGGTGGAGCACTCATCAGCAGCCCAACAACCATCTCCACAGAGACTTCTGCTCACCTGAGAGCTCGGCTCAGCTTGTCGTAGTTCATTTGCGGTTTGCATTTTCTTCTGCCCCACAGTCGTGCTACCTCATCAGGGTCCTTGATCACAAACTCCCCATATTCGCCCTGCTGCCAAGCAATGACATGGCGAAATTCCTCCTTCTGCAGGAGCTCCAAGATGAAATGCCATAACTGGATCTGACGGGAGCCAGGGCTGGACTCGGTCTTGTACGCCCACTCTGGGAAATGATAGCCTTCAAAAATGCCAAAAAAAAAAAAAATCATTCAGACTGCAAGTTGGAACTACAGCGCTCACAACTGCCAAGTTTTAAACGCTGGGAACAAGTGCCTTCAATATGTATTTATAATGTCCTTTTCAGAGCGGGACCACAGAGCACCTCTGGTAGCTGTGATTCCAATAAAGGTTAAATAAAGAAACCCAGCTTTCTTACTCCAGCTTTTCACCATCTTCCTCATTTTACCCCACTCTCCTTGGAGAATCCCAAAGCAAAAATGGTAAAATTCAAAGGGACATTAAAAATAAAAATAAAAGGAGTGAGAAACAGCAGAAAGGAGCCCAAAGGCTTTAGATATCACTCCGATTTGAACTCTGGGGTGTCCCACAGTAGGCAAACAATCCATGTTTCACCAGTATTTGGTGCCCCGATTTCGAGAGGTGAGCATGACTACCTCTCTGCGACTCTGGCTACGCAGCATTTCAGGGAGCGTAACACCCTACGCCAGAGTCAACCGCACTGACAGATATTTCTGAATGACTGCCAAATTCAGCTTTGTCAGAAGTTTCCCAGCACAACTGTTAACATGAGGTTTTCCAAATCATCGGGGCACAATTTTAGGCTCAAGAAGCGTGCAAGGCCAAGTCACACCTCGCTCGAATGGGATCCACATCACTGTTGTTGGCTGTGACTGAAGTAAAAGCAGTCACGAGCCACACTACCTGGGAGGGGGGACTCTAACTTAGAGATCAAAAGCTTTACAAATAAAACGTCTCCAGGAATATAGTTTTAAGCAGAGTGCAAATAAATAAGCCGCGAAACAGTAAAAAGCGCTGATAATCCATCACCGCTTGTTTGATCAATTCTCATTTACACCTAGCTCTTGCTAGTACAAAAGAGCTTTTAAAAGAGGCAGAATTAATCCTGCTTGAGCTCCTTTATCCCTGTGGAAAGGATTTGTAAAGCTGAAAACCCCAGACTTCTACCCTGCATGCGCTTCCTTACCTCCTCCTCCTTCTGGTTTATCCACAATGCTGCAGCCTGCTTTCATTTTCTCCCTCCTGCTGACTGCGAAACAGAAGGAAATAAGCAACTCTATCAATATGCCATTATCGCAGGCGGCACTTTGAATTCCGTTCCTTCCTGTAGAAGGCTCCTTTACCCGAAGAGGCCACCTCTAACTGCAATCCTGCCCATCGCAAGGGATGGCACCCACGGTTCCACTGTTACCGGTGGCCGTAATCACCCGCGTCTGCCTTTTAACCGCACCGTGAAAACATGGCGCTTAATATTTGCTTCCTTTCTGCCCTGCCATTAAAAGCGTGCAAATGAGGGGGGGGGGGGGATAAATTCCCAGCTTCTGACTTCCATCCCAGGACGCGCATCTGATTTTAATTTCTTTAGGTAGCTTAGGTCTGTTTTAAGAGCTACCTGCACGCGCTTCGCTCGATCAAACCGCACGAAGCGGAGCCTAAACAGCCCTCTCCCGCTCCCAAGAGCGTCCGCCTAACGGGAAACGAACGGGAAAGAAAGAGCAGCGTCCCCGGCAGCACCGAACGGGGGGAAAAAAAAGGAAGGGGGGGGGGATGCGGGAAGGACGCAGGCTTTCCGGCG